TTTATGTTCGCCGAATTGACATGAAAGCATTGACAAATATGAATATACTGCAGTGACGTGCGGTGAGGTTCATGGCTGGTGAGGCACTGACTCTTTCAGAGTCAGATTTACAAATATCATATTTTGACCTTAATCGACATATTCGGTTATTTTCAAAAGCTTTTTTAGTCTGATGCTTCGATTCATTTTAAAGAGCCCGTTCAACAAAAATGATACCCAACATCTAAATATTGGATTGTTCTTTCTTAGTAAGATCCCATTTTCATTACAATTGTGGTCTTACCTTGACTTGAAGATTAAGTCCATGCTATTCTTCTGGACAACATCTCTATTACTTTTTTGTAAAAGTCCTCCTTATCTTCCTCTAGTTTCAAAAGTCTAGTTTGTTGTTTGCGTCGCGTCTACCGCCATGGTCTACCCCGTCTCTACTTGGAATAACAGTAGCAACAATAACCTGTGGGCTCACTTGCGCCCCCTTCAGTGCGGCAGAGGTTATGGCTGCCTCCCCTGGTGCTTTTTTCATTGCCGTTGTATGATGAGACCAGCGAGCCTAAATATCATATACGTGAAATAAGTTATTTAAAGACTATGGATGGCGAGGATACATGTAATAAAGGGATCTACAAACATTACATTGGTGACATACAGTGAGATGGTGCAGGCATGCGCTTAGGGCCCGCTTTCCAGCCAGTTTCTGTGGGGTGACACATTCTGAGGTGAGGCAGAGCTCATCTGTGCCTCACCTCACCCCACAGTAACTGGCTTGAGCGCGCTCACAAAATAAGTGCCCGCGTTAAATTAGTGCCCGCGCTCCAGCCAGTTACTGTGGGCTTACGAGAGGCAGAGCTCGTCCCTGCCTCACTTCTCATCGCTACCCGTAGTTGTAGCGGAGGAGCTCTGCAAATTTGCTGATTTTGACTATAAAAAGCTATTGGAATCAAACATAAATCACATTTACAACACAGATCAGTGGAGACATTTTGTTATTATTACTATTTAGTTTTTCTTTAGTTGTTTTTCCGTTACATTGGAGTTTGACAGGTGAGGCTCTGCCTCCCCTGACTGCACGTCGCTGATATACTGTAGTCAACTTCATTACAACGTTATTAACGTGCCTAAACTCAGTAATTCACCATTTCTACGCATGACGACACACTTTGTCCGTGTTTGGCTCTCTCGCCGCACAGTGAAGCGTTTGACGTCACTTCCGGCTTCCCCCAAAACTTCAAAATGAGTCGAAGGAATTTCCCCGCGATGTTCGAAATTATTGATATTTATCGGAACGGTATCGCACCTTCTTTTTTAAACTGACGGTTCGAGATGACTAGTAGCCCAATATTTCATTGCACAACAGTTGTTGGGATGCTGTCACAGGCTCTTTAAGTGTAGAGCTTACAGTAGCGAGGTGTCGCTTATCCAATTTCCCAGCTGTTTATTATTTATACCATAACTCGCCTCTAGCTGTCATCAGTAAAGCCACTTTGAATGTTATGACTGAAGATAATTGAGTAACATCAAGTAAACAAGAAATATGAAATGCAAAATGCACACAAAATGCAGTACAGTGATTTGGTTTGATTATATGAATGCAGAAATGAGCTACATTTGAGATAATGCACCATAACTAAAATATCATATAACTTGTTGCATTATATTATACAGGTTTTTGTTCCCGTTTCTACCAGGCTGTTTTCCTCCCCTCTCCTAACCATCCTCCCTCTCAGAAGTGAAGTTAAATCTGTACCACACGCAGGACAACTCATCCGTCAGCAGAACATCCACTGAAGAAGGGATGAACCGAGACGTCTAACTGTGCCCTTACACAAACTGATACAACAACATCCACTCTGATGAAGGATTTCAGTGCTTTGGGCTGGGGGTCTTGATTCCACTCTGATCCTCCGACTAGATCAACTTCAAGTCCAAATTAAACATTTTTATTTAGATATCATACTCCTTTCTTATTTCTTCTAGTTCGTTTGCAAAAACGAAAGCATTCAGCCGTTGATCTTGATAACACCTCTGCTGGCTTCATTAAACGTGTCCGAATATCTGTGACAGCTATCACAAATTGTAATACTTTTCCACGCACACAATGTTTTATGTGTATAAAGTTTGATGTTATGAGACACAGTATGAATAAGATATACTTTATTAACCCAAATTGGGATTTCTTTTGGTATTTTTTTGTAAAACAAGTATTGCACATAATTAGAAATAAAAGAGTAGAAAATAAACAGTTATACAATTTTTAAAAAATCGGTTATAACTTACATTTATTATTTTCAATGATATATTAAATTAAATATAGATGTAAAATGAACAGTGTAGTATATGAAGTTTTAAAAAATAAATTTTAATTTCATTAGTTCAACCGCTTCATAAAAATATGAGTAGACAGAACCAGAATATAATCTATTGCTTCTCCATGGTGTTCCGGTTTTTATTCAAGTGGAAAACATCCTTTTTTCTCTCCATTGATTCCAAAGCTAGGCCTTTACCGTAATCAATCTCACCAATACTACAGCCAGAAAGTATAAGGACAATGATTTATTTTATGCTTTTGGCTCATAGTCCAGCAATTGGGTTTGCAAATGAAACAGTAACTATTAGGTATACGTGCTGAGAAGTGCTCAAATCTATAATAGGAGAGCTGCTCAGGAGCACTTTTTAGCCACGCGGCATTTCTCTAGAATAATGTCAATTGATCACTTTGCTCCACTGATATATGTAATATCTAATATTACATTACATTACATTACATTGCATTTAGCTGACGCTTTTATCCAAAGCGGCTTACAATAAGTACATTCGACCAGGAAGACACAACCTTGAAGAAAACAGAATCATATAAGTACATCAGGTTTCATAGAGCCAAACATTTCAAGTGCTACTCAACTGGCTTTAGATAAGCCAGTCCTTTATTAGTATAAAAGTGCTTCGTTAATAGTTCTAACGCTCGAAGTGGAGTCGAAAGAGATGAGTTTTCAGTTTGCGCCGGAAGATGTGTAAGTTATCTGCTGTCCTGATGTCAATGGGGAGCTCATTCCACCATCTTGGAGCCAGGACAGCAAACCCACGTGTTTTCGCGGATGGGAACTTGGGTCCCCCTCGCAGCGAGGGCGCAACGAGTCGTTTGGCTGATGCAGAGCGTAGTGCACGTAATATATCAGGATCGTCAGGATCGTCATTAAAATGTGTACAGTTAATCCGTAATGGCCGAAGGACGAGTAATCTTGGATTTGGTGATCCCCTGGGCCCAGGAGTTCAACACTTTTAATCTCAATCAGATCCGATCAGATTTTGAAATCCCATTTTTTGTGATCCAGGATCAGACAAATCGGACACATTTTGTCCCTGGAGTTCAAAGCAATTCAGGATAGGATCACCCTGATCCAGATTACGACTTTTCAAGATGACTAGATCCTGAATATCAGTGCTTTAATCCTACCAATCGCCATCTAGTGGACATGAAAAATAATACAAGGAAGACAAGAGACCACATTGCAGAGACATCTATTGTCCGCAATTACTTTTGAAAGGTGATGACAGATGATGGACTTTTTTTGTTGAAGATATTTTTTATTTAATCTAAATTACATTTGTGATTGACAATCTTTGTTGTGATACTTTTATGAGCATATACATTTATGTCATCAACATTTGGTTTAAAACAAAATAGGCCACCACAAACGTGAGCAAAAAATGGAAAATAAAATGTATTTCCCATGAAGGCTAAAAATAGTGTATTATTTCCGTTAACAAACTTTGCCATCTAATTTAAATTGAAACATATTTTAAAATAAATTGTACAGTAAATTTTGCTCTGGTAATCCACTGGAAATCCACCCCTCTGGTGGGATCAGGATAATCCAGTTTTTTGGGATCAAATTGATCCCAAACCTGTGTTGTCGGTTTGAACTACCCGTTTTGAAGATGTGATCCAGATTAAAGCTTGGATTGGATTTCCTGATCTGATCGGATATCAAAGTGATCCTAATCCTGTTTTTTGGTTTTGAACTCCCCAAAATCCAAATCTGATTTGATCAGATAGGGATTAAAAGTTTTGAACTCTTGGGCCCTGACGATTCATCTAGCACCACCATGAGGCACCACATTGGTTCTGTACCTTAATACACGTCGTTTATCATCAGGACATTTCAGTCACTACAATCTTGAAAAGCATGCCAATCTCAAGATCCCAATATTTCCTTTCTGCTTCCTAATTTTGTATCCATGGTTGTGTAGTTCAGAGGATTGAGAATCAGTGTTTCTACACATAAGATTATAGGGGAGATGGTTTGCCGACTAAAAAGCTGTTTAAAAGTGGTCCACTTTGGTGTTTCTGTACAGTTTTATATGCCTTTTGGAACTGTACTCGAGATACACAATGTACACAAAAAACAAACAAACAAACTGGACTTTTGTTGAATTTTCCTCCGATCTAGGCTTCAATCCCTGATATGAAAGCCTCCTTAGTTGTGTTATTTAGGACTATGCTGAAGGAAATTGATGTTATTACAGACAGAACAATTAAGACTTTTTTTGAAGACAGAATTGTATCGATTGGCCAAGTCCGTCACCTGACCTCCTTCTAGCTGAGCATGTGTTGATAAAGACTAGGCAAAAAACGAAAGTATTAAAAAGTAAAGATACTTGCAGTACAGTTGTGGAGCATCTCCAGGGAATGAATTGCTGGTGTGTGTGGGTTGTAGACTTCAGCCAGTTATTGATGCAACGGATTTGCTACTAACCATTAAATGCGATGACTTTATGTTAACTGGTCCAATAACTTTCTTTCCCATAAAAGAAGGGGGACTGTGCAAACCAGAAATGTTTTTCCTCCACCGTTCATTTGATGTAGCTGTGAACACCTTCAAAGTCATGCTTAAAGTCAGCACATTACCCTCATAGTGATGTTAAATGAGTCGAACCAAAAGCAGAGATTTCTCCGTGCTGATACGTTATGATTGAATTCTTCCCTCTCTTTTTCTTCACAGTGAACTTTGACCACTTCCAGATATTACGGGCCATTGGGAAAGGAAGCTTTGGAAAGGTAATGTGACCTCCATTTTTCATTCAGTGGATGTGCGTGTTCTGTTCCCTCGTTTAGCTGCAACAGTCATTATCTCTGCTGAAGAATCAGAGGGGCAAGCAGAACGGCTGTGAGAGATTACACTGCTATCTCATGATATTATGGTGTTTAAAAGATAAATAATGTTTCTATTTTAATAATAGTTATAAATATGGCTTATGTAACACTTTCTAAAGTCATTTAGAGGAGAGCCAATTTACTTTTAAGCTAATGCCAGCCAACCTGTTGGGAGTTTTGACACAGCGTCAAAATTACAGAGCAGCACTACACTGCGGCTACATTTGTCATCAATTGTTCACGCTTCATACAGCATGAAGGGAAACTTGGCATGTGTGTTTTGAAACCAAATGACTGTAGTTCTTTTAAAACTGTTCTCAGTGGCCAATATCACCATTGGTGGCCATTGTTGAGAAAACTGAAATTTGTTAGCTGAAGAACTCCTTTGTGTTCGTATTGAACGCCTTTGTGAGACTTTAGTAATGAATTCACGGCCGTGTGTGTGTGTGTGTGTGTGTGTGTGTGTGTGTGTGTGTGTGTGTGTGTGTGTGTGTGTGTGTGTGTGTGTGTGTGTGTGTGTGTGTGTGTGTGTGTGTGTGTGTGTGTGTGTGTGTGGACGGACAGTTGGGCTCCAGAGATTGGAAGAGTTTATCTTCATTTGGAATCCCAAATATCACGGCTAGTGTTTGTTCATTATACTCGTGTCTGTGAACGCCTTTGCAGAATCATTCTGCTTTGCTCTTCTCAAAACACTTGTCCCTCTGTTATAAGGGAAGTCATTGCCTAATGCTGAATACATTAATATGTGAATTTATGTAAATTCTTACTTATTGCTTTGTTCCCTCAAGCTGCTGCCACTTCCCTTATGATACTGAAGGGAATCTGCAGTAAGCCTGGAAATACACTGCATGCAGGCCTAGCTTCATGGAAAGGCAACCTCATTTTATTAACATTAGATTATTTACACTACATTTAATTTTAGGGGGAAATAAATGCCATATTGAAACGCATGTTCATTCATGTTTATGGTTCTTAAATGCAACATAAAGAGCTTGAAATAAGCTGCTCTCCTGGCTAAGATAGATGCTCTTAAAAAACATCATGAATGTGTCAAAAAAGGTTTCAGTATCAAAGTCTTTTAGGACATTTTCCCCTTGGGAAGCCAACTGCTTCTTCCAAATGTGTCCCCCATTCATGCAATATCTGTAACACAGTCATGTTCGCACAGCTTTTATGGACACACACACACACACACACACACACACACACACACACACACACACACACACACACACACACACACACACACACACACACACACACACACACACACACACACACACACCACACACACACACACACACACACACACACACACACACACACACACAGAGAGAGCACACTCAGACAGGTAGATGCTCACAGGGATGTCCTGATCAGGTTTGTCCTTGTTGGAGGTCATCCTGTCTGATTTCCGGCCCACTGAGGCCTCATTCTGTCTTCCTGCTGTTTCTGAATACTTAGCAGCATGAGCCCTAATCTCTGCACTGAAGCCTGTGTGGGTTTGTGTAAGTGGGGATGTAGTAAAGAAGATGGGTAAACAAGACTGTCAATTGTGTGTAAAAAGAACACATGTTATTTTAGGATTTCCATCCATTTCTAAACCAAAATGTATAGCGTCAACTGGATATTATAGAGTGGTGTAGGAATAAACCCTTGAAAATAGTTAGCATTTTACTGCTTCCTGTTCCCTTTTCTTAAAGTCAATGCTTTTTTGAAATTCTTTTGATTAGATTCCTAAAATAAGGCAAGGCAAGGCAGATCTAAGATCTTTTTTTTTTTTTACAAGTCTTTTTATTTCATTATAGTGTACAGTAGTCGATGCCATTTCATTTATATTGTAATATCACAGTACCACAGTACACTCACTTAAATAAGATAAGATCTTTGATTTACACATTCATCAATAAATAACCCACTCGTGAATGTCCAAAGCTTCTGTGTCATAAAAACATTGGTTGCTAACAAGCGTCTAAACGAGATTACTAAACGTCATCACAATTGTAGCCACCTTTAGCTTAGCAGTGTTGATGTGAAGTCATGTGACCATGCTGAAGTTCCTTTGTAGCCTAACGTTAGTTTTTTACTTCTGGCAATTTCATTTTGTTTAAAAAATCATACGTATGAATCAGAATCAAGTTTATTGTCAGGTATGTTTACACGTACGAGGAATTTGCTTTGGTGGTGCGGACATCTAAAAAAACAAGTTGCAAAGTAGGTAATACAAAATAAAAGTATTTTAAGAATCAATTTAGCATTAAAAAAGGTATTTACACCAAATGTAAATGTAACTATACAAATAACCTTAAAAGCTAAAAAACAACACAAGTACTTAGGAAAATGAGTATTATAAAGTGGAGGGCTGTGCAGACATGTGTGTAACAATGAGCAAAAGGCAGAAAGATGGTGTTAATATGTGAAGATTATCCTGCTGAACAAAACGTGTAAGAATCATAAATGTGTGTTTGCTACAGAGATTATTCAGAAATCCAGTGGGAAAATCCTGTTGCTTTTCGTCGGGGGAGCAACTTACTGGTCGGCCTACAAAAACATGTTATCATTTTACTATTATTATTTACTCTATGAAATGTAGCTATGCACATTTTATAGTAGTGTCAAATGTAGATAAACCCTTTATTAAAAAAAACACAACACAAGAAAGGTTAGGATATAAAGAACATGAAGAACAGAAGAGAGTATTTACCTCACACCTAGCGCTGTGAAACAGGATCTTGTGTTGGTGCTCTAGGAAAATGGGCTCTTTGCTGTGCACTTCTGAAGGTGTGTGTGTGTGTCTTTCACATTTGATAATGTGTTGTGCAGGGCTCGTTCTTGCACAGCGGGTACTTGTGTGGTAGGTTGGTGCAAAGAAATAAAAGGTTGTCAGAGGGGGAAGCATAGGAAACCTGTAAAAGGTCATGTTCCCCTTACTATCTCTTTTTTCTTAAACGTACAGTTTTAGGGTATCCATGTTTCTCTCCCACTCTCCTGCTCAGGCCCTATCAGCAGAAGAGCTTCGCTCTATCTATGGCATGTTCCTCTCTCAGCCACACGTTGAAATGAACAAATGCTGCTGCACAGCTCAAAGTGCAAGACAGGTGCTGGGTTGCAATGTTCACACTTTTAGTTAAGTGTCCAAATGCAATGTATAACATAATGCAATGCACTTAGAGTACCTGAATGGTGCACTCATAATGGTTGAAAAGTTGAGTGTGGAACGTCGGACACTTCCCTCACACAACCATCACCATGTTACCATCAGCTGAGATAAGGTTAAAGACGTTATGTGTGCGTTTTGTTCCATTGTTTAATAAAACATGCCACTATACTTGTGTTGAAAATAAGCCATTGTTAACTATGATGGGTGTATAGAGAAGTCTGGAATGATTCCCTAATGCAAATGATAGCAAGCTAGCCACTTATGGCTAACAGGTACAATGGTCTCTTCCGGTAAGGGCACAGCTGCAGTGTGCGATTCCAGGTAACAACTTAGGTCAGAATTTAAGTGTTCTCAGTGTATGACATGCAGTGCACTAAGGGAAGAGTGTAATCATATTTGCATTGGGTGGCACAACATTTTCAATTTGAAACCACAGATTCTGTGAACAAATGTTTCCTTTTGATGACCTCTGGCATCTCCAGTTTACTGATTGACATAAGGTTTTACTTGTAGCTAAAGAAGCACTAACCGCTAACTGCTAGCAGAGGAGCTTAGGACAGCTCTGATATGCAGGAGCGTTAGATAAGTTGTAACTTGTTAGTTTGAGTAATTGTAGTTTAATGTAATCATAACACAACATAACATGTCCACTTTTACATATGTGTATGAGTGAAACGCTCTGAGTCTGGAGGTGGGCCAAATCACAAAAATAACATAATTGTTGCATAATGTTGCTTTTAGTAATCTATCAATGAATCTTCTTCTGCGAAACGTGAATCGACATGCTTTCAAATCAGAGAGAAAGTTGTGATAACACAGTCTGTACGAGCATTTAGTTTATTCCATTTCAGAGTTTCTCTTCTTATTGCATTCTGCAAATCACTTTCCCCTCTTTCCTATTTCTATGATATATCACCACAGGAACCTCTCCTCCCTCCTCTCCTTTTGTATCATCCCTACTTTCTCTCTATCCCCCACTGTTCCTCTCGTAAATTCATTTCCAGGGTGTTTTATGGGCTCGACAGTAAAGAAACCTGTGCTGGCAAAGCAGTGTAGTATTATTAAGAATAACATATGGCATTAATATTGTTTGAAATCCCACTCCAAGCCTGTTTTGAGCATCTCTCCCCTACAAGGTGGGTGTGCAGAGTGATGGTAGCTGGGTGTGATTTTTCTCCCGAGCAGTGCAGGATATATCTCGTTTGTAACGTGCCTGCTCGAGGGCTTGATGGCCATGTACAGCTCCGGAGTCAAGATAATTGCTTGCTCCCCTGTTGCTCGCCTTCTCCTGCGCTCCCTTTTCCCCAGGAGCATCTCACTTTTGCCCCCCCTTTGTCACTCCATCTCATCCTTTCCGCCACAGGGCTCATTAAGGCCCTCGCGGCGAGAGGGCTCGTGGGGGAGTCGACACTCGAGGAAGACACGACAGTCATTGTAGTGACAGCTCCTTAATGGCAGCAGTCAGATGGACAGGTAAACATCCAAACAGAGAGAGGTAGGGGAGGTCAGAAGAAGAGTGGGGGCTCAGCTGGGGGCGTCTGCATCCTCACTCACTCTGCCTGCAGACACTTCGGTGGGAATAAACCCTCATTAGGAGAGGGATTGAAGTAGAAATACAGACGAACAGAGACAGGCGCTGGAAATAAGTGGGAGTAGAACAGATGTTCTACTAGATGTTAACAGATTTTAAAGGACAAATAATAATATAAATAAAAAATATTAGGTTCAACTTAATATTAATGCT